ACAAAAAAAAAAAAAAAAAAATGGGAAATGTTTATAAAATAAAAGAGTAATAAAAAAAGACAAAAACACCAGGAGATAAACATAAAACACACACACACACACACACACACACACACACACACACACACACACACACACACACACACACACACACACACACACACACACACAAAGCAACAGCGCAGGTGCTGACCCATGGGGAAGCGTGGTATCGTGGGTGTGACGGCCGGCGTGCTGGTCGGGACGCACCAACTACACGCACAAGAGCATGTGAGAAGCACTGACGGCAACATCAGGGAATAATAAGTGGTGCAACACAACACGTTGTGCGACAACGAGACTCACCGTTGGTTTGTGGCAAGACTGTGGACGATGATGGCTGCATGGTTGAGCGCCCCATCCCCTGACGAACGCCATGTATCAACACGCAAGGCGACGGGAGCCGTGGAATAGAAGCTGAGTGATGGAATAAGGTGCTGATAAGCAACAAGCAAAGCAAACGAAACAAACAAGAAACAAACAAACAAACAAACAAACAAACAAACAAACAAACAAACAAACAAACAAACAAACAAACAAACAAACAAACAAACAAACAAACAAACAAACAAACAAACAAACAAACAAACAAACAAACAAACAAACAAACAAACAAACAAACAAGCAAACAAACAAACAAACAAACAAACAACGAAATAATGCAAACAAAACAAAGCAAATACAAGCCAACAAGCTGCACCTGCTTGGCGGCGTGCCATGCTGCGAGGGGACGGGTTGATCTGCGTGTGTCGGCGTCGTCGCTCACGGCGTCTGCCCCGGTGTCGGCAACAGCGAACACCGTCGACCGATTACGCAGCTCATGCGCTTTCCTGACGGCGCAACCACCGGGGCAGCGACAAATGGCATGAACTTAAACAGAAAAAGAGCAAAAAGGGACGATCAGTCCAAGCCCCCCCCCCCCACACACACACACACACGCAAAACACAAACACGAGTTCTATGGCGGGCGCATTTCTATCCAGCATGAGCAATCCCAACTGCCCATCTGTCCATCTCACCGGGTGCGCACAGTCGACGTGCTGCTGCTGCTGCTGCTGCTGTTGCCGCCACGAACAGACCGGCCGCCAATGGAGAGCGAATCCATCTCTTCCGCGGTCTCATTCGCGCCAGCCCTTGCTGCTTGATACTGGTGACGATGCTGCTGCTGCTGCTGCTGCTGCTGCTGCTGCCGGTGTGGGCGTGGAGGCTGCCGTGCCCTGCCGTAACCACCAATGCCCCAATCGCTGTCGTTCCCACTGTCGCTGGCATTGTGCTTCTGCCCCACATGTGCTCGTACGTGCGTGCGCGTGACCTCCTTGCGAATGGCCGGCGCTGCCCTGTGCGAGCGCTCTGTGCGCGCTGTTGACGCTGCCGACGGCGCAGACGACGACACATCCGCACGCGCAACCCCCGTCGCTCGCACCCGTGATGGACCCTGCTGCTGTTGTGGGTGGTGGTGGTCGCCGTTGTCACTGCCGTTGCCTGTGTCGACACCGCGTTGGTGTGGAGGATTGAGAAAGAGGTTGAACTCTCGTGACGCAGCGGCCTGCAGACAAAGAAAGTCAAAAAAAAAAAAAAGGCACAAGCGCGCGGACGAGACAGACACGCAGTTGCGTACATGCACGCACGTGAGTGCACGCGTGTGAATGTTCCGTTTCCTTCCGCTCAAACAGACAGACGACATGACGCACGTACATGCGCCACTGAAGATGACATGTGTGTTGGGTGACCCCCAGACACATACAAACACACACGCGGTGTCTCATCTGTTCTGCCCATGCTCATGAAGGACGACAGACCTCGTATAATTTCTCCTGGTAGTCGGCGACCGTCATGTTTGGGTCGTTGACGTGCGGAACAACGAGCGACTGCTTCAGGGTCTTTTCCGTCCTGTGCAGCGAGAGCAAGCACGTGGTAGGGTTCGGAAGTTGACCCAAGCCAAAGGGGGGGGGGGTTTGAAAGGCAAGAAAACATGGATTAACCTGCAAGCAATTGCGCCAACGGAATGACAATCGATACATACGTACGCCAGACTAGCTCCTGTACTTCACGCAGACACACATGCACACACACACACATAGCCACACACGCATAGACACACACACACACACACACACACACACACACACACACACACACACACACACACACACACACACACACACATTGGCTGCCTGAAGGCTCGCATGTATCCATGTGGGAGGAGGGAGAGGATGCGGGGCCGCTTCTCCGGATTGAAGACGAGCATCAGCGAGAGAAAATCAAGCGCCGCTGCACTCGCCTGACACCATCGACACGGCGGTTATGATCACGGTGATGGTGATGGTGATGGTGACGGCAAAAGCGGACACATACCCGCACACATGTAAAGACGAGAGTGTCATCACAAGAGAGGAGAGCGCAGCATGCACGCGCTGTTAACCATTTCGTTGCAGCAACAACAACAACTTAAACAACAACTTAAACAACAACTTAAACAACTTAAACAACAACAACAACTTAAACAACAACAACAACTTAAACAACAACAACTTAAAAACAACAACTTAAAACAACAACAACAACGCCACCGCATACCGTTGGGCAGAGCGCCTTGAGTGAGGTTCGTCGCGCGTCCGACATCTTGGCAATGAGGATGCCTGCATATGGGGCGTCGATGGCTTTGATGGCGGCAGCATCAGGCTTGCCCAGACACTGAAGAGCAGACACATGTGCGCAGCGAGATGGCAAGCAGGAAGGCAATCGAGCACATGAGCACACAAAGCCAAAACAATAATTTGGAGGAAGGTGGATGCACAGACACACAGACACACACAGAGCAAGACAGACAAATTGGAAGGAAGAAAGCCAACCCCAGCTCCAGCAACACACACACACACACACACACACACACACACACACACACACACACACACACACACACACACACACACACACACACACACACACACACACGCACGCACGCACACACACACGCACGCGCGCATCAGCAGCTGTCATTGTGGATTGTGAGTAATCTGTTGCACCTTGACGTCCGCCGCGCAGCATGTAGCCGAGGATGCAGCCAATCGACCACACGTCAACCACGTGCCGATACCTGCAGCAGGGCGGTGCGCCAGCGCCAAGGTCACGCGAGACATCGATGGGAGTCACAGGGGCATGCAGACAGGCATGTCCAAACAAGTATCATGCACACATGCACATCCAAATGTACATTCACACATGCACACATGCACACGCTCACACACACGCACACACAGGTGCACGCACATGCACACAAACACACTCTCTCCCTCTGTGTCGATCTCTCCGCTTCTCTTGGGTTATTTTCGCCTCTGTATGTGGCGCGTACCCTGAGGATCTGGTACATGACATATGCCTCGTGCTCCTTTGTCAGGATCTTTGCATCGACGGCGCGTTTCAGGTCCGTATCTGAACGGGCGCCAACACCAGCACCACGGCAAACAACACGATAGCTCGATGATCAGCACAGGACACGGGGTTCTGCTGTTGATTTGTTGAGCCATACGCGCATGTGTGTTGGTTGCACAATGATACACACATATGCACACATGCACACACCGCCTCACCCATGTGGTCGAAGATGAGGTAGAGGTCGCGGTCGTTGACGGGCCGAATCACATCAAGCAAGGTGATGATGTTGTCGTGCTCCATGAAGGCCTGGGCAATTGTCCCAGCAACATGCAATCATGAGCCAGCTGTGTGCACCAGTAGCACTGACCGCTTGCGCTTGCTGACACAGATACACACACACATGCTGAATATGGCAGTGCAAAATGAAGCATGTCAGCCAACCACTCCTTCTCTTTTCTCTGTCTCTGCCTCTCTGTCTCTCTGGCTCTGTCGCTGCCTCTCTGTCTCCCTGTTGTACACACCTTGAGATATACGACCTCGCGATATGTGCGCTGCGCATCAACCGTGTTGCGGAAGGCATCATACACCTTCTTGATCGCCACAATCTGTTGGGCTCCTGTTCGCCTCCTTGCCTTCCACACAATACCGTATGCCTGGAACAGCGACCCATACACCCAGCCATCACAATCAACAGAACGCCACTGTCGTCCCCTTGCTGGCGCTATTGACCAACATCTTGTGCAATAACGAACATCAACCAAACTCCAACTGACTGATGCACCCCTTATTCATACGCGTCGATGATCATCGCACGACCAACAAACAACAAAGGCCCGAGCTCACGCATCAAACTCCAATCACACACTCTCACCCCACGACCGATGCGATCAAGGAGTTCGTAGTCCTTGGCGATGTTGGCATCCACCGCTCCGTACACTTGCTTCTTGCTCATCGTGGTAGGTAGACGCACTCTGCTTCTCTCCAAGTGATGTCGATGCCTGCTTGCACGTCGATGAAGGTGGTGAAGGTGGGGTGTTTGTTTGTTTGGTCGTTGTTTGCCTATTGTTGTTGTTGTGTGGGCGATGCCTCTGCTCCTCCCGCCGGCCGGCGCGAATTTGAAATTTCCCTTTTACTGCGTTTCATGCTGTCGCCTTCTCATCATCGATTGATTCCAATCGAGCGCGGCGGCGAGCACGACGACCACAAGCATGACCAGTCGGTGTGTGGTTGTGTGTGTTGTGTGTGCTCTCTGTGTGCACCTTGCTCTGTGCACCGCAACCGAACAAGCCACTCATGATGGGTGGATGGGTGCGTGGGAGAGTGTGTGCCGGTGTTGTAGTTGTACTTGATGATGTGCAGCTTGTTGTGCGTTGCGTTGCGTACGAGTGCTGTCGTGCTACTGACTTGCTGTGTTGTGGGCGTGGCAGCAACGAGTGCCTTCCTTGCTCTTTGATGCATGTCCTGTTTGGTTCTTCTTCTGGTCAAACTGACACCGTTTCACCATACACACACTCTCTCTCTTGGTGGCCACAGGGTTGGAAGCAAGCTCAAGTTTGCTGGAAAGGCCAAGGAGGCCGCCCCAGAGGTTGTCCGCTCCGGATATGTCACGAAAATGGGTCAAGTGAGTCACGTGTTGTTGTTTCAGTTGTTGTTGTTGTTGTTGTTTAAGTTGTTGTTGTTGAAGTTGTTGTTGTTGAAGTTGTTGTTGTTGTTCTTGCTCTTCTTCTGCTTGTTCTTGCTCTTCTTCTGCTTGTTCTTGCTCTTCTTCTGCTTCTTCTTGCTCTTCTTCTGCTTGTTCTTGCTCTTCTTCTGCTTCTTCTTGCTCTTCTTCTGCTTCTTCTTGCTCTTCTTGTTCAGCCCAACTTGTTAACCACCAAACAACCCCCCCCCCCTTTCTCTCAAAGTGGCCAGCATCCTGTTTGTGATTCATGCTCACTTCGTTATCACTGTCTCAACGGATGACAGGTTGTGAAGAACTGGAAGATGCGCTGGTTGGAGCTGTACAGCAATGGTGAGTTCGTCTGCCTGCAGCTGAGTGGGTACGGCTGTGTGTCTGCAACCGTTTCTTTGTGCGCATGCTTGTTGGCGTATTGACAACGTTGCCCCCCTCCATCACAACTCTATGTGTGCGACAGGCATGTTGGTGTACTACAAGAAGGAGCCGCGCAAGGACGACAAACCGCAAGGCGAAGTCAACATCGCCAGCGACTGCCTCGACATCCTCACACACGCTCAGGTCGGCTTGAATGATCTGTGTGCATGCATGTGTGTATGCTTGTGTGTATGTGTGTGTACGTGTGCTTGTCCCTGTCTGTCTGTGTGCGTGTGTGTGCTTGTGTATGTTTGTGTGCACGTGTGTGTGTGTGTGTGCTTGTTTGTGTATGTGAGCGTGTGTCTGTCTGTCTGTCTGTCTGTCTGTGGAAGTGCTAGTGTGTCTGCGTGTACAAGCACTTGCCCGCCCTGGCACTCACGTTCCATCACGTCCCCCTTCCAATGATATCATCAACTGACCTCACGGGTGCAGGCAACCGCCAAACAAATGTGCAAATGGCCTGAGGACGTCGCCGACGGTTCTGGTACACACACACACACACACACACACACACACACACACACAACGCATGCACGCACACAACACAACACAACACAATACAACACAACACAACACAACACAACACAACACACACAACACACGCACACACACACACACACAACGCATGCACGAACACAACACAACACAAGCGTGCTCTGTTTCTCAACTCACCCTCTCCCCTCCTCTCCTTAAACTGCGCCACCGCCACCCCCTTCCTGTACATGGCAAAGGGTTTGCACTCGTGACGCGGTCTGGGCGCACCTATTTCATGTATTGCGATTCTGTCGAGGAGGCTGAGCGCTGGATCACCATGTGCGCAAAGTACGTTTTTTTTTTTTTGAATCCCCGCCACCCTGTTCCTGTTAATGTGCTCGATGGCAGATCCATCTGCGTGCTGCCACCACCAAGTCTTCACCACTGGAGCTCATGTGACCTCTGTCTGTCTCCATCCCTCGTGTCATCTTTCCATCCCTCGTGTCATCTTTCCATCCCTCGTGTCATCTTTCCATCCCTCGTGTCATCTTTCCATCAGCGTTGCCGCCAATGCACGATATGAGGACGGCGGCGACAGCATCCGCGAGATACGGTCCCGTCGCGGATCTGTCAGGCGCCCGGAGACGAGCAAGCAGCAGGTCAGCACCCTGGCCTGCTACTGGTGGTTGGTGTGTTGGGCTTTCAAGGAGGGCTGTTGCTCTCTCCTTCTCCTTTTCGCTTGACCGCTCATCATAAGTCGCACACACACACACACACACCATACACCACACACACACACACACACACACACACACACACACACACACACACACACACACACACACACACACAGACGGAGCTTGTGCCTGATTTGCCCAACGATGAAGGCAAGGACGTGTGTTATGTGCACAAGGTTGTTGGCGGTGTGGTGATCAAGGAGAAGCACACGGTGCAGTGACGCCACGCGTGTAGTGGTGGTGGTGGTGGTGGTGGTGATTTCTTGTTCTGTCTAAAGCTATGGTTTGAATGATTGACTGATTGGTTGCGATGCTGACAGCAGTGATGATGATGATGCTGATGATGATGATGATGATGATGAGTTCATGCTCGTTCGAAACTCGTTCGTTGTGACTGTAATGAACCAAAGTTTGATATTGAGCTGTGACAACAACAAAGGAAGACATGCGACGCACCACACGCGCGCTGTTCAACGCAAGGTGGCATACGGGGGATTGGCGCTTGATAGGAAGAGTGCGGGGTGTGCGTGTGTGTGTGTGTGCGCGTGGAGTGTTTGAGGTGGACCCGCACAACAAACACATAATCAACCAAAAAGACGTACAACAACGACAACAAACCAACAACACACAACAACAGAGCAAAGCCTAGGAACGTGTTGAGGTAGAAAGAGGGGGATGAGAGACTCAACGCGAGAAAGGAAACAGGAAGCGTGCGCACGTGCTCACGATGCGCGTGCAATGGAGTGTGTAACCACAAATGGCAGCAGCACATGTGAGCGGCCAGGCATCACCCAGCACAGACGCGACGCGGTGAGTGCTGGGGAGGGGGAGGGGCGAACTGTGGAGTAGCAGAGATGGGGGCTTGGGTTGGCTGGTTGGGCGGGGGCTGATGCTGGTGCAAGACGACAGCCAACATCAGGTACAAGCGATGGGAATAGGGGGAGACAAAGCACAGAAGGTGCCTGGTGGGACCGACGGATGGATGTCTGGATGTCTGGATGTCTGGATGGATGTATGTCTGGGGCTTGCGGGATTAGATCTCAACGTCCTCGATTGTGGGCGCGTCGATTGCCATATCCAACGTCGCCAAATCGGGCTCAAGACCTGCAGTAAGTAGGCGGAGAGGCGGAGAGAGAAGTGTGCCATGAAGGGGAAAGAGGTTGGTGATACGATCACGGGCGCAGATGGTAAGGCCGGTTTGGCTTGGATGTCCATGCACAAGAGCCAGGCGCCCAACACACACACACACACACACACACACACACACACACACACACACACACACACACACACACACACACACACAACACAACACAACACAACACAAAGAGCAGGGGTGCAGGGGACCTTGCTGGGCCTGCGAGATCATGCCAAGGATGAGGCAGAGCTGATCAAAGTCGATCTTTCCGCGCCGCTCGTTGTCGACCTCCATCCAGATGGACCCAAGGGTGTTGATGTCCAGTCCTGCACAGGCACGCACACAATAGTGTGAGAAATGGGGGCGTGGTGGGCATGGCCATAGAGTGGGAATGTGTATTTGTAGTTGTGTATGTGTGTGTGTGTGTGTGTGTGCGCGCGAAAACATTCTCCTAGAACGACTAGGCGCAATCACCATCAGCATCACCATCCGTGGTGGCGGCGCACCTGATCGGAGCAGAACGGGCCTGACGCCTTGGCCGGAGAGGCAGCCCTCATCGTCCTGCTCAACCATCTGCCAGCACGAGAAAATGGCGCAGGCCACAAACACAAAACGGCGACGCAAATCGTGCATGTCAGTGAGAGGGAGCGACATGTGCGTGTGTGTGCGTGTGTGTGTGTGTGTGTGTGTGTGTGTGCGTGTGCGTGTTGAGACAAAAACACAACCCAAGCGAAGGAAGGAGAGAGAATGGAAAACACGACCACACCCAAACCCCAACCCCCCCCCCCGGGAAAAGAAAAAAAGAAACGCATTGTGCAAGAGAGCGGCACACAGCAGGACAAATAGGTAGGGGCAGTGGCCTGACCTCAAAGATGGCTTGTGCCAGGTGCTGGATCTGCGCCTCCGCCCCCTGCTCCTCCGCCTCCTCCTCGTCTCCAAACCCGTTCACTGCGTCCGTGCTGTTGTTGCTGTTGTTGTTCTTGTCTGCAACCGCAAACGCGTCGTCGTCAGCGTGTCTACCGTCGCCACCACCATCACCGCCGTTCATCTCCTCGTCCTCCTGCGCCGCTGCTGTTGCATCGTCATCACCACCCGGCACAAAGTCATCATCAAACCCCTGCCCAGCACCCGCCTCTTCCTCCGCGCCATCGTCCGCCTCGGCCAGCGCCGCCCGCATGTCGTCCAGATGCACAAACTCGCCGTGCTCGTCGAGGTCGATGGTGCCCTGGTTCATAAACATCTCAAACGCCTCCTGCTCGCTCATCTCATGCAGCTCAACCCGCCGCACAGCCCTGCGCGCGCAACACACACACACACAGAGGAGAAATTTGTGAGGACGACGGCCCATGAATTGCACAATGCCACCCACAGTGCCGTGCCTTCATGTGTGTGGGTGTGTGTATGACTTACGGCTTGAACGCGTCCTGCTCGCTCTCTGAACTGTCGCCTTCACCTGCGAAAACAATTGGAAATGGGAATCCTACTCGTCAATACTTGCGCAATTAAGAAAGACAAACGTTTGGGGAGGGGAAGGCGTGGGTAGGACAAATGCTGCGACTGCAGCGAAAGGTGCAATGACTGCACTTGTGGCTGTTGACTGCTGCTGCTGCTGCTGCTGCGGTTAACATTACTACTGTCGCCATGACTGCTGCTCACCTTCTTCGTCGGGCATACCAACCATGCCATCCATAATGTCCTTGAACGAGGGGCCCGCCGTATGCTCGTCAACATCGTCAAACTGAACGTGTGTGTGTGTGTGTGTGTGTGTGTGTGTGTGTGTGTGTGTGTGTGTGTGTGTGTGTGTGTGTGTGTGTGTGTGTGTGTGTGTGTGGTGGCGGTCATTAGGGCAAGTCTGCATCGTGAAGAGCCAAGTAGAAAGGGTAACCATTGATGAACCGTGTACAGTAGCAGCCGTGGTGGCAGTGCAGGGTACGGCCAACGAAGCGCGTTGCCCTCGTGTTGCACAGCAATGCATGATACCAATTATACAGAGACACGGCATGTGGCCAACGCACGTCTTCCTCCTCCTCCTCGTCGCCCTCCTCGTCTTCCTCGTGGAAGTCGTGGTCCTCGAGGTCAGCAAACGGCGGCGGCGCGCGCTGCACATGTGCGCACAAGACGCAAAGGGGCGGGTGGAGAGGGTACAACGCGGGTGAGACGTAAGGACACAACATTGGCGAGCACACGACCAACACATGTGCGCATGTGTGCATATGTGTTTGTATACGTACGTGCATATGTGCGCATGCGTGTGCATATGTGTTTGCGTACAAGTGCGTGCATGTGTGTGTGCGTACCCTGAAGCTGGGCTGCCTCCAGTCTGGGCGGCGAACGCTGCCGCGCATCGGCTGTGCATCCGTCACATACTGCACGACAAAGATCCGTGCAAACAAGGTTGGTGGTGGTGGTGGTGAGCATGTGCGCAGACGCAAAACAAACACAGATGGAGACATCATGACACCCCAAGTGCGCGTGTGCGAGTGCTACCTCGGTGTCGTCTGGGAGGCGGAGTGTGAGCGGATAGCCGTTGGAATCGTTCATGAAGCGGTTCTGGGAGTAAAACCTGTGATGCAGCAGCCGCGCAGCCACGACGGTGAGGAGCAACAAACCAAACCAAACCAAAATACCCAATGCAATACAGAGCAGTTCCAGGAAAGAAGCGCATGCATCGGCAGCATGTCGTGCTGATGTGCTGACGTACGCAACGAGCTCTGCCAAGTCGTCAAACGTGACGCCGCCCCGCTCGCCAAGTTGAAATCCTGGTGCCCAAGCGCATGCACACACCATATCATAGCAGGTGTTTGACAGAGCCATGAACGAACGTGCAGCTGTGCATGCATTCACATGCCCATCAGCTTCTCCCCACCCCTCACCACCATCACCATCATCGATATACGGACCTCCTGGTGTTCTGACGACGAGACCGGTCCAGATCTGCTGTCCCGTTTGCACGCTGATGGCGTAGTCGCCGGGCCTGAAACACACACACACACACAGCACACATATCATGGGCAACTTCAAGTCAGCTAGTGTATCTCCACTCTACGATGCGCGTGCTTGCACGCATGTACACACCCCCGGGTCCAATAGCTGTCGCACGCGGCGCACCTGCTCTGTGATTCGCGGATGATGAAGTCGCCAATGTGACCGGCGCGGAGGATGGTGTTGACCTCGCCCCGCGTCATGCTCGGCCGAAACCACGAGTCCTGTCCACACACACACACACACACACACACACACACACACACACACACACACACACACACACACACACACACACACATGTGAGTAAGTGTGTTCAGAATGAGAGACAGGGGGGGGGGGCTGCGTTTCATCGGGCCAGCGTTGGTGGCGCTGACGAGTATGCATGCCACTCACGTTACCACCACCATGCACACGATCACATCGCAGTTCTCACCGTCAGCCGCGGGTTTGGCTGCCCGTTTCGCGGCGCAGACCGCCGGCGCATCGACTGCTCCCCAGCAAACGCAGACACCGCAGCCAGAGAGAGAGAGTGTGTGTGTGTGTGTGTGTGTGTGCGGTTATGCCGTTGTGTGTGTGTGTGTGTGTGAGGGCGTGGGCTTCAGTTTGGTAGCCAGGCACTCAATGAGTCAGTCACGCAGTCACTCAGTGTGTGCGTGCATGTGAGCGTGAGCGGGTAACAGCTGTGTTCCTGACATTGCTCAAAAGATGCAATGAGCACGAAGGCGAGTAGTGTGTGTGTGTGTGTCCTGCGTGCGAGAGAAACGATACCTTGCGCATGTGGGCTTGCACACGTTCCTCCATCGGCCTGTGAAAAAAGCAACAGAGGGAAGCACAATTGAGATTGTGGCATTGCCATGGGGCCACGCACGCACACACACACACACACACACACACACACACACACACACACACACACACACACACGCACGCACACGCACACACACGCACACACACGCACACACACAAACGCACACACACGCACACACAAACGCACGATGAAGGCGTGGGTGGGAGCGGCTGCTGCTGTTGGCGAAGGGAGGGCTGGCGGTTGGTGGAAGGTGAGGGCGACAAGTTCTTCTTCTTGTGCTGCTGATACGCAGCAGTGCACACTGCCGCCACCGCGCGCACGATGCGCTTGGCCTGCTCCTTGGAGTTGCACTTGAACACGTGGCAGAAAAAGTCGGTGGTGGAGCCCTTGCTGCCCACAATGCACGTGAACAGCCTTGGCTTTGTCGCATCCACTGTGCAGTGCGCAATCTCAAAAACGGAATGGCTGCACACGCGAACGCACAGATGATTGTCTGGTGAGCATGGACGAGAGCGCGTTGGCGCACGAAACATGCAGCACACGTAAGTCTGCACACTCAACCATCTCTCACGCCTCACACACATACACACACACTGCCTTGACGCAGGCGAACGCACTTCATGAGTGTCTTGGGCGGGTTGAAATTTGTGTCGATGCAAGTGAGCCCTGCATAACAGTAAAACAAGGGAGGGGGGACAGGGAGTTGTGAGCAACATTGGCTGACGATGGCATCAGTTCACGCGCAGACGAGGTCCACAGGCGCACACACTAACGCGAACACACAAACACACGCGAACACACGATCACATGAACACGCAACTCTGCAAGCAGCAAGGAATGACCTTGCTTGCTTGCTTACCATCTGGTGTGCAGGAAAGCACGGCCAAACAGCTGCGCTTGGGCTTGGTGAGCAGCCGTTTCACGCATGCATTTGCCTGTGACCATTGCCGTGGCATTCGTCAGAGTGCATCCATCAAGTTTATTTACAACCACAACGTTTGCATATGTTTGACGCACAGTGAGTGAAGACAGGAACAATGACCAGCAAACACGCACACACACGCACACACACGTACCTCGGTACTGCTGGGACGTGGCTGCTCATCTGTTGGGAACCAGTTGAGCACGGGCTCGTACCCACGGTACTTGACCTGGTGTGTCCACCAAAGGACAGCAAGTGAGGTGATGTAAGCACACACGCACACACGCACACGCGCACACACACACAAACACACACAGCCAAACCAAAACAAAACTGCCTTGCGATCCACCGACACGACACATCAGGTGCGTGCAAGCTATGATCAACCACTCAAAGCACGATCGCAGGCGTCCCAAGCAGCAGCAGCAGCAGCCTGGCTCCACTGCCGTCACCACCACTTGCAGAGCCACCTCCTTCCCCTCCTCCTCCTCACCGACAAGCAACATCAAGGACGGCGGCAAGCAAGTCTGCTGACCTCTTGGTGCATAAAGCTCATCGTGGCCAGTTCTGCTGCGGCGCTGTGCTTGCTGCCTGTGGGTTGTTTGTTTGTTGTTTTGGTTCTTCGGACACAGTTCACTTTACAGAGAATATGTTTATTATGGGTGGGGTTAACAAAATTCGGTCGTGCTCCACGCCATCGCGGAACCAGCGCAGAGGACAAGAAGGCAGTGACAAGAAGACGCGATGTGGTCTTGCTGCAGTGCTGCAGGGCTGCCAGTACAAGGCAGCTCCCGCGCAAAGCACTCAGTGGGAAGAACAAAGAGGAGAGGGGCGAGAGAGGGAATGGCTTGCTTGAAACGCAGCCCCCTTGCTCCAAAACAATCTTGAAAGCTGGAGAGATGGAAAAAACAAAAGTCAGCGAGAAGGGGCGTGTGGCAAGGGCAGTGCGAGTAAATCGAGGAGAAGCTGAGAAGGAAGGAATCGTACAACATTGTACAACACAAGTACGAAAGCGGCTGAGCAGCAGGCTCAGGTGGCAAAGTCTCTTCATTTCCTGAAGAGTGAGGGAAAGACAGAGGAAAGACAGAGGGGAGGGAGAGAAATCGAAGGCGGGCCGAAGCAATCGTGTGTGTGTGCGCGTGTGTGTGTGTGTGTGTGTGTGTGTGTGTTTCAGCTACTCTTTCATAGCGAGTGAGAAGAACCGTGAGAGATAGAGAGAGTTCCCGTTCTGCAATCATTGCGTGGCTGCATGCTGATATGTCACTACTGCTTCGTCCGGGGTTGCGGCGAATCTTCCAAGACACTTTGCAAGAACTGGAGACGAGGGGGGGGGGTGGGGGAAGCACGCTCGTGTGAGTGGAGACGATGGGTGGGAGCGCCAGGATATTCGAGACGGGCACACACAAAGTTGCATATAATGTCACGCGCACACACACACACAGATAAATACAACTTGACACACACACACGCACACACGCACACACACACACGCACACACGAGGTAAGACAACTTCACACACACACACAGCAACATCAACAAGAAAAGCAGCAGCTCAGCAGGTCTCGTCTCGCACCGATGGCTTTCGCCCGTCTTGGACTTGAGCAAACGCAGCAAAGCGGGCGGCGCTGGTGCATGACCGCAACTTATCGCTCAGCGGTGACGCCCTACGTCATGATGAGCAGAATACAAGGGCGATATCAGAACCAATTCACTTCCATTGGAGCGCAGCCCGCAACAAAGCAGTTGGAGCAGGAGACTAGTTGCATTCGTAGCAGTGGCATGGGCATTCGGCTGCACGCACTTTGTGGAGAACAGCTCGTCCTCGTTGCGCGGCTCTTTGCCCCACTAAGCAGCCACAGCAACGCATTGTGGATGAGAACAGTACAGAAGAGCCTAGCAAAACAATGCCTGTGTGTGTAGGAAGCGTGTTCCACTTCACGGAGGGCATACACGACACAACACGCACACACACTCACACGCTACAACAACGTAAACAACAACAACACACACACACACAACATGCGATGCGCAAACACACATGCACAATGTAAACACGTACGTTGTTTGCTTTTCGGTACCATGCACCATAGCCTAGGCGGCGATTGCGTGCCTCCTTCAGGCTGGCAGTTGCTTGTGGGTTTGGCGGCGAGCGACTGGCCTGGGTTGTCGGTCTCGCCACCTTGCGGCTTGCGGCCGCGCTCTCAAACCTACATGCGAGACGTCATGCACAACAACACACAGGGCACGCACAGCAGCATCGCAACCAGGGTTTGTCAGAACACAAGCTCGTCTACAAGTACACACAATGCACGCTTGTGTGTGTGTGTGTGTGTGTGTGTGTGTGTGTGTAGTGTGTGTGTGTGTGTGTGTGAAAGTAAAACGCGGGACAATCGGCTGGGTTAACTCACCGTTGTCGACTGGCTTCCACGATCGTGTTTTCGTCGATAAGCTCTGCTGGCAAGTTCAAGTACTGGAACACGCGCACGTTTGAGGTGTCCTTGGCCTCCTGTTACAGAATGTGTTGTTGCGCCGATGAGCGATTGGCTGTCTGAGGAGACCATGCAACGAGCACAAGCAAAACACAAACAAACAAAACAAACAAACACACACAGCCACACACACAGCCACACACACAGCCACACACACACACACACACACACACACACACACACACACACACACAAACACACCACACACCTGGCGGATAATCTCATCCGTGGCGTCCTCGGGTCGCCATCTGGGCTTGTTGCCCATGTGTTGATCGAGCTCTGGGAGAACGGCGAGGGACGCGCGTCGGATCTGTGCCAGCTCCACGATGGGCGACTGT